TCTGAACCTGGCGAAATATCATTATGATTTTATTTACATTTGCCTTTAATAAAAGTCAACCCGCATGTCTTATCGAGATGGCGATGACTGTTTGATTTCGTATTAAATTAGTGTCATAAACAGGAACAACTGCTGCGGTTCGCATGGGTTGCTTTTTTCGAAAATAAAAGAAGGAAGAGATGGGGCAGAACCTCGGTTTATCAATGGAATATTTACAATGTTGTATTAACAATTTATTAAACAATTTTATGGTGTTATCGCCGGTTGGCCTCGCATTACGTATACGCACTCGTGGCTTTTCGCGCACTCTGCAGCTGTAATGTAATTTCCGTTCTGCATTTCCTCTGGCCGCCGATCCGAAAGAGCCGCAAATTGTGCGTAATTTTATTTATTTAACGCAGCAGTTTGCTGCCTGCACTTGCTGCATCATTTGGGCGGCAGTTCATTTCCGCAGCACACACGCAGATACAGTTGCAGTTGCACTTGCAACAGTTGCAGCTTTTGCCGCAGTTGCTACAGTTGCGGTTGCCATTGTTCGCGTTAATCCGTGATTGTCGGCCCTCGATTCTGGCAATCGGATTTACCGGCAATTCGCTAATACTTACTTATTTAATGAAGATTACATAACAGGAGTTTTTCGATTTTTTCAATACTCGGAAAATATACAACAAATTTTTCAGGGCACTTAAACTGAACAAGTAGCTCTTGAGATGTACATTTTCTGGAATTTAATAATTGCTGTAAAACCAGATTTATTAAAAAGGATTAAGCAACATATTTTTAACTAATTAGTACAATGAATGTTTTAGAAAAACAAATGTCCTACCTAAAATTACATTTAAAAATGAATTTAAAAAAGCCTGCTGATTTTTGTGGCACCCCCGATATATCCTGTTTTATAACAAAATTTAAGATTGAGATAATGTACATATCATTAGCTACTTTTTCATAACTCTAATGATTTTCTCTGCAAATATATTTTGAATGGATTCTTATCAGTTAAATCAGCTTATTTTATGGGGTTTTCAGATTTTACAGCTTTAAACTTTACTTTTACTCTTTATTCTAGAATTCCTGAGACAACTTGACAAGACGTTTTTTATTCCATTCCATGTTTTACTTTTACCATGTTTAATTTGTTTACTGAGGAAAAAGCGCAAAGGAATTACGTCTAATAGTATAAATAACCAGGACACTATGGTACATGTTCATCAAGTTTGGACTGGGCCTAAAAGTATGCCACACGTTTTCCTAAAATTAAAAGCTTCACCGCTTTTCTAAATTGATGTGGAACAACTCAAGCCGCCCACTCCCCACACCTGTATCCCATTTTCCCACCCAGCCTGCCATTTGGCGTTGTCCTGATTCAGCTCGAAGCGAAATTGGCTTCAATTATGCGACAGAATTATGAAATTACAAAAATTGCGAAAGTAAGTAGCTGCCGCTGCTTTTCGCTTGAGCCAAATGTAATTGCGGCAATTTGCAGTTGCAGGCAGCTCTGCCAGTCGGCTAATAACGTTTATTAAAACCACAACAACATTGCAGGGAACCGGGGGGAAACTCAGGGACTTCCCCCATCCCATCCCATTGACAATAAGCCGAACGGAAAAGGGGGATATACCCGTGCATATGTTCAACGTTGTGCAAATTACGCAAATCCTTGTGAAGCACATTAATGCGCACAATGACAATTAATCGCTGCAAATTAAAATGATGACAATGTACTGGATTTTCCCATATGCCATACCCATTTTACCCAGCCCAACCACTCAGCGAGGATTAAGCATGGCAAACGAAACAAGAGTTAAATTTAAATCATAATTATTTATGGCTAAGCCGACGAAGGCGGATAGTTCACATTGTGTTCCCCGTTCAGGCGGCCCACATCCCGATGTCCTTGTTCCGCCCGCCGATCCTGGTGCTGCCCATCCAGACCCACTCCCAATCGCTCGATGAACTTGGCCGAACGGAATCCATTTTTCTAAAAAAAGGCAAGAATCACGTATCACCCATCCATATATAAATACATATATACATAATATTCCCTTACCTCGTAGTACAACGACCTCGCCTTCTTGGCCGCTTCCGGATCAAAGTCCCATGAAGTCCTTTCGTGAAGGATCGGCTCACCAGCCACATTGTTCTGCAGTGTTTCGGTTATCAGACGGATAATAAAGCCATCTGCGGGTTGGCTAACCTGAAGCAAAAGCATCACCACCACAGGTAACTAAAAATAAAAAAAAATATTATTTATATCACCTATACTTTTAAAGAAATTCCTTCGATTTTTACTGATAATAAAAGTATCCTTTTTTTAATTCCAACAATTTATGTACTTCTTTTGCTGCGATGATAAATATTAAATATAAATGTTTAGGTGCAACTTTAGGACATAGTTCGTAAAAAAATATTTTTAAAAGACTTTTTACTAAAAAGTTTTAATAGAGGATAAGAAACTGAATTTAAAAATCAACAAAACTAAAAAGTGTATATAATTTGCCTTTATTATAAGCTGTTTAACCTTCAGCAGATTTATTTTATCTTTTTATTTAATTAATATAAAAATACTCATCTTTAAAAATAATTAAAGTTAATAAAACATTTTTTATTAAGTCATATTATTCAGCACAAATATTTAATTTTATTTTTTGTCATTCCATCAATATAAAAATACGCAGTCAAAAAATCTAGAAATACGTTATTGATTTATTTAGTGTTAAGTCTTTAAAGAGCATATTGTGCTTCAACAAAAATCATATGGTATAAAAAATTTAAATATTTAATACTGTTGAAATTGATATTAATATCTTTTTGTACATTTTAAAATTTGATTGATGCTAATTTTGTCAATGTTATTGTTTTAATCATGACATAAACGTTACATATGGCGGCGGCTAATTAGATTGCCCAAAAAACTAATCGATCAGCGTTTATTACTCATCCGCCCCACATTACACATTCCGCCACTAACATTCACTTAACATTAACATTTGCCGCCACCGCACTGCTCTTTACCATATTATTCATGGCTTATTTACTTCGCGTTAATCACATTTCGGTACACTTACAGCGGCCATAAAGACAAATCTCAGGTGCAACATTGTATCGAATCAAGTCTTTCTTTTCAGGTTGAAGAGTCGCCCGTGCGAGTCACTGGACCATTGATCACTGAAGACTGCGGATCGCAGAAATCGCGTAGTTGCATAAAACGCAGCCAAGCGCCAACTCGAAAAATATTGAAAATAAAAATCAACCTCACGAGCGGCAACAAAATATGGCAAACCAAACAAACTTTGAGAAGTTACACAGCAAAAACGGAGAGTTAGCCACAAATTGAGAGAAAGACAGAGAGGGATTGAGAGATTAGAGCCGAGATACAATTTGGCTAACAAATCTTAAACGGTCTCGAACATTTTTGGTAATACATTGGGAGAAATCACTATTGAATTGATGACCTAGCATATCTTATAGTTGAACAAGAAGTTAAACTTGTCATAATTAACTTAAAAATCTGATTTAACTTTTAAAACATTATTATATATTAAAACATTTTTGTTAATATTCATTATAAGTTAGGAACTTCCTCGTAATTTGTACAAAGTGTATAAATAGTTTTAAGGTTTTTAGAGCCTACTAATGGAATATGATCTCCGATCTGTGACTTTGCTTTCAACCTTCGAGCAGGTACTTGAAAACCCCGCTTCGCCATACTCTTGTTTGGCTTTATGAACTGTTTTATTTTTTTTAGTTTAGTTTAATGACAAACCAAATTGGTTTTCATGGCAGACGGAACTAAGTACGCATATTCGCCAGAGGTTACTGCCATTCATTTGCCTTAAACCAAAAGCGCCCAAAGCAAGCTAAAAAAAAATGTATAAAAAGGTGGAGATAATGTTAAACAGAAATAGAAACCCAAGGAAAAATGCGAAAATGCAAATGCAAGGCAAAGAAAGTGCGCCGGAGCTGAAAAGAAATGGCACAGAGTCGCGAAATAAAGAAAGCAAAAACTGGTTGCCAGCTATTTTTCCGTCGGAGCATGACTCTTTTTATGGCTGCAGGAGTTACATAATATGGGTCCATCGTCATCTCGATCGGTGGTGACCATCCAGTCGGTCCACAACCACTTGGTAATGTGGCCCCAATTCCATTTTTGCCCACCTGAACAGCTGTTTCCTATCTCTTTTATCCACTCTTTAATATTTTTGCAATTCTCTTTGGACACAGAAAAAATAAGAGCCTACGTGAGTCGGCTCAGGTGGGTCTTTAAAGGCATAATTTTTGTTTATAAACATACATTTCCGGCAGCCTAAATGCAGGGGAAAAAAGCTCCAAGTCTTAGTTTTTTCAGGACTTTCACTTTCCTCGTGAGTTGCAAAATCTAGAGGATCATTAGATTAGGTAAACAAATAAGTTACAACACACCGAGAGAAACTAATGATTTGTTGTTCTTTCTGAAATCAAGTTATTATTAAAATCATTTCATTTTAACGGCTTCTGGTTTCATTTCCCTTGAAACAATACAATAGTTAAGTTACCATCTTGAAAAATCCGTTCAGATAAATCTTAATATTTAACTAGTTAACATGTATTGATACTGATGTATTAATGCTTTTATTAAATAAATAAGTCATTATTATTTTATAATATACACGAAATATAAGAAATTATTTAACATGTTAACATTTGTAAATTTCATCTTCTGCAACCATAATGAAGTTCTAGACTTAGGGCCTTAGGACTGTTTTAGACTTTAGTTAGTATTTTGGATCATCATACCCTCCGAAATTACAAAATATTATTAAAAGGGATCGGGATAGCACTACTATATCTTGCAATACCACAAGTGCTTTAAACTGAAGAGATATACTGCGAAGACTAGTCTAAGTTTGTAAGCCAAACTTCGAAGCTCCAAACTCTCTTCGCAAGCTTTCTGGCTCTCTTCGTGGAGCTCGGCTTTTGGCCGCTTGTCGACTGGCAATGCAATTCAGTTGCCAAACAAAACGCGATCGGCGAACATCTTCGTACCGCTCCGCCCTTCTTTAGCTTTACCGTTACGCCAGCGATCGGGGATTACATAGATCCGTAACTGAAAAACCATGGCCAGGTTGAACGCTCTGCTGCTGCCCGTAAGTTTTAGATCGTTTGGTTTACACCTCGATGGGAACGGGAGGTTGTTTCTAGGGTTTACCTCCCCAATTAACAAGTCTTAGAGCCCACTGACACAATTTCCGCCTTTTCTGCGCGAAAGTCGCAGCCAAAAGAAAACCGTCTGCGATCGTCGGAAATTTGTGACTTGAATTTCCAATGAGCTCAAGTCGGTTCTTCTTTCAAAATCCATTTATTTTCGACTACCAGACAATTGACACATTTCCAAACCATATGTGGGCCAAATTTTAAGGCTCTCTCTTTCGGCGGAGAGACCTTGAAAGACACGATCGAGCGATCTTTCTCTTATTTTCTCTCTCTTGGCCAAGTTGAAAGCCAAGCGAATTGTGTCATAATCTCTGGGCAACAAGTTGTGGCCAAGTTGCGCATCGTGGTTATGGGTATTGTTGGCGTAATTGCATAACCAGCGTTTAAACCGTTGCTTTGAAGTTGGTTGAAGCGCCGGAAAGAGATTTCTTGGAAGGCTTCGGCCGACTGTGAGTACATCTATTACCACTTTCGTGCATCTGACACAGTGAGCTATTGAGCATTCGCGGGTTTTAATTGTTTAACTTCCCTAAATCGAGTTTTGGTTAATCGAACTACTTTCACAACGTTATGTTTTTTATTACACATTTAATTACAAACGCGGTTTTCATTGAAAGAACGCACCAGTTTTAGTTTGCCAAAATCTGGGATGGTAATTTAACAAGTGATTAAATGGTTTTTGCTCCTTTCATTTTGCTTGTAAAAACTGTAAAAAAAAAAATTTTAGTACCGGTACTTAAATTTTATTACTCGGAATTTTAAAATATATTACACATTTAACAGATTAAAATAAAAATGCAATGCATTATGTAATTATTTATAGCAGCAGCAGTGTTGTAGTTTTCAAACCAAACTTTACATAGATTGGCTTTATTTTATGTTATTTATTTTGTCTATAAACAATATTTTTTGATAAATACATCATTAATGTTTTGTTTTATTTTTCAGCTTCTTCTGTTTATTGTAGCATTTGTGGTTCACTCATCATTTGCCACAGTTCAGCCAAAGGCGCCAAACTTCCAGTACTTTGAAAGGTATTTGTAAATATTATATCAAAAACTCCTCTTTATACTAAAATATAAATCAAATTTCAGGCCGAAATACCGTTATCCCTACTACGATGAACATGGACGCGGAAAACTTCTCTATGGCTACGGTGGTCCAGAATTATATCAGTACAAGACATACACGCCTCTGGAGGGCATACACTAGGTTTTATAATTTATAGATGCATTGTAGTTTAAAATTTATGTATTCTCCGCTTTATTTAAATTAAACAATTTTTTATATTCCCATAACGGTTTGGAATTCTCTATAACTTGAGCAATAGATGGCGCTGCTGCTAGCATTTTGCATTTTACAACACTGTTTTGGGTGGGCGCGCTATCTAGCATTTGAAATGAGAACAATTGTTTGCAATGTTCGCAAATTTTTTTTTAAATTAATAAATAATTGAAGTAATGCCTTATTAACGTTATTTTCTTCTGAAGCTACATTTAAACAAAAATTCGTAATTTTTACCGCGAAATAGTATCGATAACGTTTTGCTTATATCGGCCTATCGCCAAAGTCGCGGTGTGACCGCATGTTGGCTGTGATAAAATACCAACTTGTTTGTCAATTGTAATTAATTTAGCCGGACGAGATCAGATTTTGCATTTATTTACAAATAATTAAACAAATATGTCCCGTAAAGAGGCCCTGTCACAGTTTATCAACCAGATACACGGTCGCCCCGTTGCCGTAAAGCTGAACAACGGTGTGGACTACCGAGGTAGGCTCATATAGCTGAGATAAATAAAGCCGGCAATCACGTTGGGACTCCCCAACCCATTCCACTGGTTACCATCTTATTTATGCTATTTCATTCATAGTTGATATTTAAATCTTAATGTGCTTTCTTCAGGGGTCTTGGCCTGCTTGGATGGCTACATGAATATCTGCCTGGAGCAGACGGAGGAGTACGTCAACGGGCAGCTGAAGAACAAGTACGGAGATGCCTTCATCCGCGGCAACAACGTCCTCTACATATCCACGCAAAAGCGGAGGGTCTGAAATCGTAGCGCCTAAGTTTATTCCGTAAATATAACATGATCCACAAATAATGTAAACATCTTAGTCATCTGGGATTGATTGAATTTCATTGTCGAGGATTACCTTACACTTACCAACAATTGAATTGCTATACAACAGAAACATTTCTTACTTACTAAGAATTCTTTAAGATATTCAGAACCCTGTGATATATCCAATATCAACAAAGTTAAGGTCATTATCTCAGTTTTAACATCAAAGTCAAGTTAAGGTACTCAAAGAAATTCAAAACCTTATAATAAGCCTTACCCGAATGGATCCGAAAAAGTTTTCTAGGATCGTTCCAAATTACCTAGTAACACTAGTAATCCTATAGGCTTTAATACTTTCGTCATTTGAATTGAAATGTATTCTCTAGATCACTTAGCTGGTTATTATCAAAATTTAGAAGAGTTTGCCATACTTACATGCAATATCAACCCACTGTAGTTGGTGTCCAAATCCTTCCTATTTAAATTCAAATACAGGTTTAGAGTCAAGTATCGTAGCTTAAGTTTATTCCATAAATACACTATCTAAAGCTATGTAAGGGCAATCCGCACTCAACTAGGATAGTGGGGAGTGCCGTACTCTCGGGGAATGGCTCCAAAGTGTCGTAGCTGGGAGACCGAGTAGCCCGATCCCAGAGCAGCGATCAGACGCTCCCCGCGATATCCGAACTTTCGCTCGTAGGTTGGACGCCAGGAGCGACCAAAGTGAGGATCAAAGGGAATCTCACTGGGTTGCTGGAACGGCGAGTTCCCAAAGAACAGGCGGTCGAGGTAGTCCAGCACCGCCTTCTTCTTCTGAAAGTGCTCCAGAAACGGATTTGCGTTGGCTGCGGTTCGGGGATCCTGCGAGGCCAGGTTCTTGAAGTATTGGAAGTTCACCAGATCCACGTTGGAGAAGTCAAAGACCCCGGGTAGATCGTGCAGCGTTGCTCGCACTTGGATAATGGAGCCCTATGCAGCCAAGGGCAATGTTAATGGGGTGATTATTGGTTGATGGGTGGCTGCTTTAATTGCCCACTTACCATTACGGCCAGTGCAGCAATTAAGACGTATTTGCACATTGCAATTGATACGGCGATCCGGAGAGAGACGACACCTATACGCTTCCCCGCGTGGAATTCAACTGATTTGAATAAATTCAGCCAACTGCACGGGTTCGGTAGGAGTGCGTCCGATATCCGACTGCCCAGCGATTTGCAATCGCCCCCAGGTCTTGTATTCTGTTGTAATATCCCCAATCGCATTACCCAATCCCGCCTGACGCGGTGTCCACCGAGGCCCAGCCAAATGTAACAGTCGTAATTAATTGATATGCATGTCGCATCAAGAGGCGTTCCAATCAAAGAGCTCGCCACCAAAGCGGACCGGCTCATTTGGGTTTTGGGCACCGCTGCCAGCACTACCACTTTATGACTCGCGGGCGACCCCATAGACATCAATCTTTTGATCTTAACGAGCATGCTTTTTTTATTCGACCCTAGATCGGTGCATTCAGCTGCATCACCACACTCGTTTGATTTGTAAAAATTTAGTTATTTAAATCGAAACAAAGACTTTAACAGGGGTTTAAATAGTGTAAAGCATAAATAAACTATCTATTTTACTTAAAAAATTAATCTCTCTTAGCTTGACGTAAAAAAGTATAAAAATTTTGGATTGTGATGTATGGATGTAATTTGAGAGCTTTCTATGTGGAATAAATTAAATATTTTTAAATTATTATTTTCAGCTGCTGTGTAGACATTAAAATTTTTTAAAGATTGGTTTAGCTTTATATAAATTAAATCATATGTAATCCCTTTTTATGGAACCTCCATATTAATAACATCCCGTAAATCATAACTTCCTCCAATAATTCCAGTGAAAGATTCCGTGTAGGAATTTAAAAATTCTGTATTAAGAGATTGATGAAATAGATCATTATAACATATTATTTCATAATATTCAAATTATACTTACTAGTTTAATAAACTTTGAATCCCTTCTCCGTAACTGCCTGAACTTCGTACGAAGGTAACCTTTTTTGACGGAGTTTAGTACCAGTCCTAGACCCATTTCCTATATCCAATCGATATGCAAATGGCAACCGTAACCTGGTGCGTAGGACGATTGCCAAATTTCTATAGAAACTGAAACAAACAAAGTCCTTATGCCAATAAATGGCGGAAGGGTCCTTCCCCACAGGGTTATGTAAAGATAGGGTTTAGTTGGCTGTGATTTTGTGAAATACGCACTCATCAAAACACTTTTTAGGCTCCTGTCGAGCAACCAAACAAAAATAAAATCACAACACAATTAATTTCAGTTGGTGAAACGAGTTATTTAAAATTTAAAAGGAGTTCTTATTAAATCTTAAGATTATTGTAAAAATTCGAAGAAACCATCAGTAAAATGGCAACCAAACCAGGAAAAGGCGATGGCAAACAGGTCAAAGGGAAGGTAAGTACCTAATATTTATATAACTAATATTCTTGTTATTATTTATTCTACACTTGATACACTTTACACTCTGTATAAGCACACATCCTTTCGCCTCGAGAGCTGGCAGCGTAATGCCAAAAACGAGGTCCTTGCTGCGGGCCAGGTCTATTTTTGCTTTTTAAATTTTTTTGCGCCTATTTGCGCTTACTTTTTAATAAGTTTGTCTGAAAGCTTGGCTCCGTCAGGCAGCTCTCCTTGATGGAACTTTGTCACGAAACATAATTTGCAATTTCCGGACCCATCCGGTGGGCAGCAGGTGGAGCAGCCGTATCCACCATGTGCGTGCCAAGCTGGGAAAGCCAGAGCACAAAGCGATCGGAGCGGTGCAATTTTGTTACAGCTACCAATTTATTTGAGTTGGGCCCATCTGGCCTTTGCCGGTCTGACGAGTGTCGAAGTCTCATCAGGCCCAACGCAATAAAAGAGTCGATAAATCACTCACGTATACGACCCTAGGCTCACCTTATTCATTTAGATGCACATCAAAATAAATATGTATTTATGTAAGAACCAATCTTACGAGGTGGTGGGAGCTGTTATTCCCCATATACCTCATTCCCAGGACCTGCTAATCGAGTTGTGTGCAATTTGTTTATTCCACCTCATCCTGTTGGTAGTGACGTCAGGGCCAGAAAGTTTTTCGCCTTCGTTACTGAAGAGGCCGCTGACGTGGCGAACGTCATCACGAATGTCTTGGCTTAAAGTCTAGGTTCCTTCCAGCGGGTCTCAGTTTTGCCTCGCCGTTCTCGCCGGAAAGATTCCCCGGAAGACAAATCCGGATACATTTTCGATATTCCGATTTTAGAGCCCCTTGCTCATCAGACAGTCTCCAGTTCCTTCTTACCTTACAGAGATTCTTATATCGTCCAGGATGTGGAAGCTAGCCAACAAGGCCATGGCGGTATATGACCACTAGATTGCATCCCCACTTGCAACTCTTAGCTAACTGAGTAGATCTGTGTGCCTGTGAGTGTGACTGCAGTGCGTTTCAATATCATAAGTCATAAGAAAATACAAGATTTTTTAACCAGATTTCCCATAAGTCAAAATTACGTCGGAAAATAAAAATATTTTAAAACCAAAAATACTCAAGTTAAACCACCAATCTTCGAAAAACGTGCTAGCATTAAAGTTTGGAAAATAAATATTTCCAATTAAATTAGGTTTATCAGGTCTACTACATCTTTAAAGATGAATTTAAAAGCAAATAGCAGAAAAGTGCAAATCTATCATATAAATTACCCTTGTTTGTATAATATGCAGGCAAAAGAGAACATTTTGACTGTACTATTTCGTTGTTTGAATATTTTAAGTACCTTTACAAATAAATTACAATCAGCGCACTGTAAAAAATGGTCACGCAAACATTCCTAACCGCTTATACCAAAATCTAAAGGTTCTGAAACGCATTGTAAGCTAGGGATCTGTAAATAACACGAGTGCCTGTCTGTGTCTAATGTAAATAACCGATATCTTTCCATATGTACAACCTGTAAATACAACCCGTAGTCGTTTCTTCAAAACTAAAACTCAACTCGTAGTCGTAGCTAAGTAGGACAGATCGCTCTCCATCTCAAATCATATTCAGTCTAAGACTAAGGCATCGCAATGTCTGAGGTTGCGAGTGCCCCAGGAACCGGCGATCCTGTGGAGGATCCTGAGATCGCTATCGACGGCGACTGGGATGGCGACGAGGTAACACCTCATTGGGTGTTCATCCCAAAAATAAGCCCTATCAAACGATATTTGGATATATATGTATCTCCTTTCAAGTCGCATGCCGCATACTGCTTGGTTCTCCTTTCTCATGATTCCTCTCACCTGCCCCAAAAACCAGTTTGCACCCAAATCTTAGGATATCAGTTGATAGCATCAGGTAAGTGACCACCCATCCGGATTCCCACTCCCAGCTTGGTTTCTTTTGAGGCACCTTCAGTGGAATGTTGCATGCACCACACTCCGTAAACCCACCCACAAAACCAGTGAGTTTGTCATACTGTTGATCCAATTTCCCCAGCTGAGGACCTCCAAGGGAAAGGCCGATGGCGGCGGAGGTGGCGGGGGCGATGCCGATGACTTCGATGCCTGGATGAAGTCCCGCCAGCTGCTCAAGCCCGATGATCAGCTGGATCTCACTGAGGCCGAACTGGGCGAAGAGGTCACCAAGGTGCTGACGCCCACCAACACCAATGTGATCCGCAACCTTGTGGTCTACAGCTTCAAGGAAGGCGAGTTTGTCCTGGCACCGGTGCCGGGTAACACAGTTACATTGATCGCCTTTCCCGGGAACTCACTGCACGTGGACTCGGAGGAGGGTCGCCGCCAGATAGAGGAGTCGGACGAGATCGGCTACCCACTTCCCATGCCAAACTACACGGTGGTGGAGCAGCGCGAACCCGAAAACGTCGATGGTGAGGAGGGAGAGGGCGAAGAGGACGATGATGGAGCAAAGTAAGTATAACGCATTAAAGTTTCATTATACTATACTTAAAATATGATTCTCAAAGAATACCCTACTTATATGTACCAGAGAAATGAGTATATTTAAAGTTATACTTAACCTTATATAGGAACTATAGTTCTTACCGTTTTAAAAAATGTTAGTTTACCTTTCAAATCGGTTCACAATTAGTGCATGGTACTAGAAGTTTCTAGGGATCCTAGATGGTTTTTAAGATAAAGTTACTGTAGGTGATCTTGAAAATTCTTGATCGTAGTTCTTCAAGTACTACAAATATTTTCGTAACCTTTTAAAAATGTTTATAATATTAAATTCTTAAATTCTTCATAAGTGCTAAGGACGCCGCCGGGGAGGAAGAGGAGGTCGAAGAGGAGGACGACGAGGAGGCCAAGGGCGCCGAGGGCGATGAAGGCGAGGGGGAGGGAGAAGGAGAAGGTGCAGCTCGTCCTGACGACGAAGAACCCGCCCAACAAGCGGCGGCTGTTTCTTCGAAGAAACGAAAGCTGATCAACCAGTTCAACTATTGCGAACGGGGTGCCCTCACCTATACAAATCCCAAACGGGTAAGTACGCTCTATGTATCCTAAAAAACCCCAAAGTTATAATAACGTTATTTGTATTATCCCAATTTAATTTTAATCTTACCCTAAAATTCCCATTCTTGTAGAGTGTGGACACCCAGACCATTCCTCCTCCCCGCTCTCAGTTTGGGGCAAATGTGCTGCAGTGGGTCATATACGATTCGTATTTAGAAAACTTCGAGGAACAGCAGAAAGATGGGACTAAAAAGGACGACCGTAAGAGGGGCAGAAGGGCCAAGAAGTTCCGGGACAAGTCCGCCATTGCGGAGCAGCTAAACAAGAAGTATCTCAAGTGCTGGCAGATCCTAGAGCGCATGATCAACCAGAATATCTACGATGACATTGCTCATGACTATCGCTACTGGGAGGATCCCGCCGACGAGTTCCGTGAGGGCGAGGGCAACCTATTGCCCCTCTGGAAGTTCCAATATGATAAGACCAAGAAGATGAATGTCACCGACATTCTGTTCAATCCTAGTTACTATGATCTCTTTGCCGTCTGCTTTGGATCGCGTAAGTTCTTCTAAACTCAATAAATTTGTATAGCCCACAAATCATTATTTCTTATTTCCTTACAGATGACTTTATGAAACAGACCAATGAGGGCTACTTGTGTCTCTTCACCGTCAAAAATCCCTCATTTCCGGATTACATCAGTGGGTTCTACATAGTTATCTTTCTATTAGTTATTCATTAAATAATCCTTACTTCGAATTTAGTTCAAACCGACAGCGGGGTAATGTGTTGCGATATCCATCCGACCTATCCTTTCCTGGCGGTGATTGGCCTGTATGACGGCAATGTGGCTGTGTACAATCTCCGGGAGGACTGCAAGGAACCACTTTATGTGTCCAAAGGAGTCAACTGCAAACATGGAGAGTGCGTGTGGCAGATAAGGTGGGGTCTGGACATGACCGACGGCGAAGTAAACTTCTTCTCGGTGTCTTCCGATGGACGGGTCTTCAACTGGATCCTCATGCAGAACAAGCTGTGGGTCACCACCATTATCACATTGTACCGGGAGAATGGACTTGTGGATGGACCGGATGGGACCAAGGTCAGCCTGAAGAGTGGAGGATCCTGCATGGTCTTCCATCCCGTCGACAACAAGGTATAGGTCTTATCTTGTTGGACATATTTTGGTTATAAGTCTTATCGAACTACCTATCTAAGGTTTTTCTGGTGGGCACCGAGTGCGGCTACATCTACAAGTGCAGCACGGCCTTTAGCTCCAAATACCTGATGACCTACAATGCTCACAACATGTCCGTCTACCGTATTGACTTCAATCGCTTCAACAGCAACATCTTTGTATCCTGTGGCGCTGACTGGCGGGTCAAGGTCTGGGAGGATATGCGCCCCGATCCATTGTTCATCTTTGATCTGGGTGCCGCTGTGGGCGATGTAAAATGGGCTCCCTACTCGAGCACCGTATTCGCGGCGGTGACCACCGAGGGCAAAGTTCATGTTTTCGATTTGAATGTGAACAAGTACAAGGCTATCTGCATCCAGGCTGTGGTGCCAAAACGGAAGAACAAGCTCACCAGGCTGTCCTTCAACGAGAAGCTCGCTTTTATTGTAGTGGGCGACGAAAAGTAAGTGCCAGTTCAGTTAGAGATATCTGTTACTAACCTTTGATAAACCCCTTTTTTACCCTCAGGGGAGTTACCACATCGCTGAAGCTGTCGCCCAATCTTCGCATGATGGTGAAGCCGCCAAAGAAGCAGCTCTATCTCGATCAGAACACTCTGCAGATTAGCAAGTTGGAGAAACTCCTGTCCCTGGTTCGGGAACTTCCCGAGGGATCTGTTGTGCCCGATGCAGCCACAACCGTGCGAAGCTAAATCCAAATATGAAACCAGATAACAAAAACACTATGGTCTGATTTTATGTATTATATTTTACACATATAGATCTGCTGGTTCTAAAAGAATCTTATGTTATTTTATGTTCCTATCAATCTAACAAAAATTTGCTATCAACCAACATAAGGAACTTAGAAGCAATGTAAAAAATCACAAAATTGTATATATGCTTAAAAACGAAATAAAGGTTGAATAAAACTGTAGTCAAATCCGTCTTAAAGTCTGGTGTTTAACAAAAATGTTAGTGGGCTGAAAGATCTCAAGAATCCAATCTTCAGACCAAAGATATTACAAAATATTGTACTCTTAATGCATATTTCACTTCATTCGAATTTTCTGAAATAACATTTATTTCAAGAAACTGAACTGACAGACTAATTACTTATTTCAATTGGCTTCTTCGTAGAATGTAATTCCATGGTAATCACGATTGTAATAGTCACTGTTCTTATTTAATAATCTTAGTGTTCAGCAGGTAAAATAAAATTAAAATATCGTTTTCACAGACAATTCTTTGTAGGTTTATAAAATTGTTTGTTTTTTAGAATGGTTTTTAAGCAAAGATGACTCAATCCTCGTCCGCATCCAAGTCAGCGGACCTGACCTTGATGTGCTTTTCCTCCAGATACTCCAGCACATTATTTGGACACATAACACTCTTGCCCAGAAAGAGCACCGTGGACATCGGATGCAGATAGTCCGCCGAGAAGGTGGAGGCCTTCCAGCCAAAAAATCCACTGGGCTTCGCCTCCGTTCCGGTAATTGCATAGGGCAGCAGATTAACGCCCACCTGGTTGGGTTTTGAGAACTGGACGCGGAAGTAATGGCCATCGGTAGCCTTGATCCAATAGAATCCCTCGTTATCCACATACGGCTTGCTCTGCGACTTCTTCATCGCATTGGAACGCTCCAGGTCCTGGACATTGAAGCTAATGTCGATGTCGTAGGCATCCGGAGAAAGGTGGTTCGTTTCGATGGCGCTCTGCAGGGCCCGGTTGTCCAGCCAGTAGCGGATGCCCACGTTCTCGAACTCCTCCAGCACATGGTTGAAGGTCGTCCTCAGCTTGTCCAGGCAGCAGGGTGGTGTATGTTTGCCCAGATACGAGTAGTAGGGCCTCTCATTGTACACACTGCCGATGCAGGACTTGGTGGTCCGTTCACAACCAAACAAATCGATGTCGGTGATCAGGGGCAACGAGGTGTTCGAGGACGAGAACTGGCCATCCAGGACCAAGCCGTGACCCTGGCCCCACACCTCCCTGGCCTGAGCCTTGCCGGGAACCCTGTAGGCCCTTCTCACGATCCGCTTGATCTGCAGCTTCTTGTACATGTCCCGGAATTGTCGACGACGCAGGTCCATCCTCCGCTGTTTGGTGTGAAAGGAGGCGAACAGACGACGACCCTCCTGGAAGGATTGCGGGAACACTGTGGTCTGAAAATATTAGGATTTTAACTTGGATCTAAGGGAATCCGAAGGAACCACTCACCGACAGATTGGCAATTTTGGCCTGCATGTAGAGCATTTCCGGGAAGGGCAAAGTAAAGGGCTCGGGCATGGCTCCTAAAACAGTTGCATCTAAAAGGATGGCGTGCTTCTGCAGAAACTGTTTAGAATACGAAAGATACAAATGTTAATTTATAAAAAAAAACTTATTTCAAATATTACGGTTTAAAATTACAAGCAAGCCCATACAAGCTGTTGTCTATCTATATTATCTATTTGAATTATATGAATTATTTATATTATAATTTTATAATTATCCATGAACAGAAAATATATAAACTATCATAAAATATCTAGCAAAAACAAATTTATACAATGTAATTTAAAATCTCAAAAATCAGTTTTAAAATAAGATAAGCTACTAATATAAGGTAAATTTCTTATAATAACACATACGCCTCGTATCTAGATCCCACTTGCTCTTCTAACATATATATACTTTACTTTAATCTTTATTTATACCCACCAAATCACATCGTCTGGTTTCGTTGGTGGCCACCAGTTCCAGCGTCCAGTCGGGCAGATCCATTGTCATCCTGACGCAGCTGATGAAGGACTTGAGGTTGCCGGCAAAGGGTACGAGCACCATCCGGCGAACGGTCTCTTCCTGCGGAACGGGAGGCCGCTGCTCCTTGGGTTGTCCTGGTAGGCCCAGAGAATTTATCTCTCGCAGGATCTTCTGCAGGATGTTCTTGCTGCTCAGCCGCACACTATCCGGCATTATAAGCAAGTACTTGGTGCGAATCGAGGCCAGCGGATTCAGCTCCTGTCGCGAGTGCCGCACATCAAAGGCCAGACTCTGAAAGACCACGGTGCGCTCCTCTCCGGCGGTCAGGTTCCTCTCATAGTTCACCGGCGGATAGGCATACTCGGCACCGCCATCTTGGAGCACCAGGATGGGCATGTTGGGTATCACGTCCAGGATGCTATCTATACTTGCCCTCAGATCCTGCTCAAAGTTGTAGTGGCCATAGAAGACGATGGTGATGGACTTCCGGATGTGTTTGTTGGCATTACGCACCTTATCCTTGGGCGACAGTTTGGCAGCCTTTGGCGGCTCCTCCGCTGCAATGGATTCTCCGGACAGGGCTCTACTTATCCGACGCCAGAGCAGCGTGTTCCAGGTGTAATATAAGAACACCAAATTGGCCAACAGGAATCCCAGCAGGAGGACCTTGACCAAACGCAACCGGAACACCTTCATGACGCAGGATGTGCGGAATGTGGCCTCTAGATTCTACTTCTGGCCGTGTGTGTATCTGTATCTGTATTTGTATCTGCTCCCGGGTATCTACACTGCATCTACATGGCTAGCAGGGGAATCTCGTTCCTTGGGCCACACTGGCTTCGACTCCAGATCCAGATCCTCCCACTGATGGTGGCTCATTTTCAGATTTCAATTGGCTCGGTTTAAGGACTCATATAACTTTTTATTTCTGCTTTTCGAACACTTTGTTTTTGTGGCTATTCCTTTTTCCTCGCCTATGCGCAAATACGGATTTCCTCCCCCTGCGGAAAATTCCGTTCGGCTCGAACAGCTGATGGCACTTGGGCTGGAAAAGTGGAAGAAAAGCTTTCTCCCAGGACAAGTGACCGTATATCATGCCGTTTTCAAAAGCTTTTTATTGGGCTTTACACATTATTATTAAAACATCTAACCTCAGTACTATAGAGTACTCTTTTCCCAAGGGCCAGTATCAGGTTATCAGTTATATTATTAATAATAATTGCAACCATAAAGAATGAACAAGGCTTATAATAAATTATTATCAAAAAATTAAAGACATCTTTACGCGGGCAAAGTTAAAACTCAACTGAAGATCTGAGAAACACTTTACGTGTGTCTGCATAAACAAGGATGATAAAAAATTATTATCATCCTTGTTTTTTCTTTATTTGTAATAAATTATTATCAACCTTGCTTATTGTTTATTTATAATAAAATATTATCATCTTTGTTTCTTCTTTATGTGTGCAACTGATATGCAAGTGTGCACAAAGATGGAATTTTAAAGGCTATTTATAACTAATCAAAAAACCTTATTCGCTCTCTCCAGATAGATTAGGGTTGCATATAGAGTGAAAGATATATAAAGGGTTTTATGTTTCTCAGATCTTCAGTTGAGTCTTAACTTTGCAAGCGCAAAGATGTCTTTAATTTTCACGATCGCCCGACTTATAATGCTGTTGTGTATCCTGGCCTTTGTGCCAATACAGACTTGCATACCACAGGGTGGAGCGGTAAAAGACTTATTCATTCCTAATTTGATCAACTTTCACTATCAACATATTCACATTTTCCAGTGCAAAGAAAAAACGGACTGCTGCAGTAAATTTTGTTACAGAGGCGATCCCCAGTGGAGACGTGGATTATGTCGACAAAAATAAAGAAATACAAAGTTCTAGACTTTTGTAATTGAATACATTTTTAATACCAAATCGAGTTTAGAAAAAAACGTAATTCTATTTAAACCACTTTAAAACGAATTTGCAATGAATGATTCGACAGATTTTAACAAAAACTGAATGGCAATATAAGGGTGTTTAAAAAAAAAATGAACAAGTACCCATTGCTCTCGTTACCAAAAATTAATATATCTTCGAATACAGTTGGGAAAACATCAATGCTAAAAAAAGGTTTCTTTTGAATTAGGCCGATTTCCTTATCATTCTGCCATTCATTTACCAGACGTTTCTATTCTGACATAATAATGAAATCTAATAAGTTTGGATTCCTCAAAGTAAAAGAGATTATGATCAAAACAACGAAGCTGAAATTATTTAATATTTGTTTTCAAATTATTCCAATGGGATCTATAGGATATAGTCATTCAACTTGGCAACTTTGGAAAAGATTAATGCAGATACCTGAAAGACTAGTTTGCGGAGAACACATGGACTGATGGACATAGTCATTTCGACTCGTCTAGTAATGCTGTTCGGAATGTATATACTTCGTGTACAATATAATAAGAAATATATATATACTTCAAAACAAGTTTAAGTGAGTTCTAATATACGAATCACATAATCAATATTAAACAGCATTAAAACAGTAAAAGCAAGTTTTTTATTAATCTTACATATGTTATAAAATATTTATCCGATGCAAATTTTATCAGGTGTGTCCCAGAAATCTGTGACGATTTTCTGGACGGAGGGTTTGAAAAACGTCTGAAAAATGCTTCCTGTTCCATCAATCATACAATTTTCGTTACAATTTAGTTGGATGAGATTTCTGCGACACCCATTAATAATACTGATTTGTAGGAGATCAATTTTAATATGGGACTACTTTCCCATGCCCGCGAAGAGCAGGGGGAAGGGCACCTCGTCAGTGGTGAGGATCTGGGGAGTGGGTGGTCGTGCCTCACCCTCGGTGGTGCTATTCAGCCAGTAGGTGGTCACGGTGCCCTTGCCCTTCAGCTCGACATCGCCGCGTTGCTCCATTTGGAAGGTGCCGAACTTGTCCAAGATGGCCTTGGTGGCCGAGGAGACGTGAATCTTGCCGGGCTGACCTGTGCTCTCCATTCTCGATGCCGTATTGACCGTGTCCCCAAAGAGACAGTAGTGTGGCATCTTTTTACCCACGACTCCTGCGCAAACGGAACCCGAATGCATTCCTATGCGTATCTGGATTTTGTACTCCGGCTTGTGGCGCAGATTAAAAGAGCTGACGGCCTGAAGAATGTCCAGGGCCATTAGAGCAATCTCGCGGGCATGCTTATCCCCATTGGGCTCTGGGAGTCCAGATACCACGAGATAAGCATCGCCAATGGTCTCCACCTTGTAGACATCATAGAATCCAATGATCCGGTCAAAGGTGCTGTACAGGTCGTTCAAGAAATTAACCACATCCATGGGACTGCTGCGGGCACAGAGTTCCGTAAAGCCCACAATGTCACTGAAGTATATGGTCACGCTGCTGAATTCCTCCGGCTCCACGAGATCGCCGGCCATCAGTTGTTGGGCCACAGGACGCGGCAGGATTTGGTACAGCAGCTCCTCCGTGCGCTGCTTCTCCAGGCTCAACTGGCGGGTTTTCTCCTCAACAAGACTCTCCAGATTGTTGGCATACTGTTCCATGCGATTTAGCAAGTCATCCATTAGGTTCTCACAGAAACCCCTGCATTAGTTTGGAATTAATCATAGGATCACTATCTATATAGGACACTTACTTCATTATAGTGCGAATATTGCTGCGAATCGTGGAGAATGTGGGCCTCTCCTCCTGGTTGTCCGCCCAGCATTTCTCCATCAGTTCCAGCAGATCCGGAGGACATTCCCGCTCCCGGATAAGTGGCCGAAATCCGTTGCACTGCCGAACCTTGTGCAGGATCGTATGGACGTCCATCTGCTGGCGGGCCTCCTGGTAGGGTCCACCACGATTGACAATCTCCTCCAGAATTATGCCAAAGGAGTAGACGTCGCCGCGCTGCGTGGCTGGACAACAGCCCGGAATGGAGGTCAGTGGCAGCAGCTCCGGGGCAATCCACAGAAGCTCTGAAACAATTTTAATAATCAAAATAAAGATTTATTATTTTTTTTTATTTAGTACCCTAATACTTAAGATACCAAAATGGACGAACTTACTCAGATAGTAGTTCTGATCACGGACAAAATCAGAGGGCGTGGTCAGTGTTCTCAGTCCAAAATCGGATATCTTGAGCACAAAGCGCCCGTCGATAAGGCAGTTGCAGGACCTTAGTTTTCCGTGGGCTGCCACATCGCTGTTGTGAAGATAGTTCATGCCCTTGACGATGTCATGGATCAGGGACATGCGGAAGTTCCAGTCCAGCTCGATGGCCTCGTTCTCCAGAACATCCTTTAAACTGCCTCGAGAGCAATATTCAGTGAGGATAAGCACAGTGGGTCGTGGTAGGTCAATGCAGGCGCCCACGAAACGCACTGTATTCTCATGGCTCACATCCCTCGCCTGCTTGATCTCCCAGAGAAGCTGAGGGGTAAGGTCCACCTTTTTGACGTTTACCTTCTTGATGGCAACCCGCTCTCCCTTAAACTGACCGATGGTGGTGTACACCTGAGGAGGAAGCGAGGTGAAGCTGGCAACGGAAGCCCTGCCCGAGTGAATTCCAAACTGTTGCAACGAGATGTTCTCCACATCCAGGCGCTGCAATCCGCCCTTGGACCCAAACATGCCTCCCATCTCGATAAGGACGTCATCAGGCCGCACCCGCCAGGACATATTGTTCAACTCCTTGCTGAGTTTCATTTGCCTGAAAACAAGAAAAAATTTATAAGTTAAAATCATTTTTAAACCACAGTAAAAGAGGTTCCATTATATAAGGATTATGGGACTATACAAAAATTCTAAAATCTTTTAGATACCTACTTTTGAAGAAGGCAAATAACCAGAAAGACAAGTCCCAAGAAGATGGCCAAACCAAATATGGAGTACATTATAGTGGAAACTGTAATTATCAATTTATAATATGTATTTATAATATTGATTTTATATATATCTTACAGTTCCCAATACAATCTGTTGAATTTCCCAGGAAACCACAGGGAGGAATATCCGGTGGCGGCTCCTCGCGCCCGCCTGGCCAATGTATCTTCTTGCCATGAACAGCTGAATAAACTCTATAAAACGAGTTAGAAAGATAATTTTATATGTTAGATATTTTGAATTTATTGAAATAATATTCTCACTTATGAACACCAGAGTAGTGGGCCACGACCGAAAACTTTCCGTTGATGGGATCCAGATCCAGAATGGAGTAGTCCGCATCGCGATCGCCATTATCATCGATTCGCACATGACCCGTGATGCCCTCGAAGGTGCGGTTCCACATCCGCCGAGTGATATTGACCCCATCTCGGATATCACCACCCTCGGTGAGGGTCTCGTTCAAGGCCATTCCAAGCAGATAGACACCGTCGTAAAAAGCTCCGATAAAGAAGTTCACCTCCTCGCCTTCGCCAAACGTATAGTTGTAATCGTAGAGAGCGTTCTCCCGCACACTGTCTGCAAAGTCCTGGAACTTGGGACTTGTGGGCTGCAGAAGACTGACCCTCAAAAGGGCCTCATACGCCTTGCGGGCCTTCGCGTCGTGCTCATCCTTCATCTCCCAGCCCTTGTCGCCCCAATACTCGCTCTGAAAGATCTCAACGTCCAGGAAGACCCATTCCCCATTGGTCATGCCCAGACTATGAGCCGCCAGCATGAACTTGCGCACCAAAACTCCGCGAACTGACAGGATGACAACTGGCGAGTAGGTAAAACAAAGGTATAAATATTATATTATTAATTATAATAAGTAAGTATTGTAAAAATCCTGTATCCAACTAATCGCAACTCTTGCAGATTATGTTTTCCATAAGCTCCAAAAATCATTACTAACCTCTTGCATACATGCTGGCATCCTTCAGATAGTTCTCGTAGCTCTCCTCTTCGTTTCCGTTGAGCTCCTTTACAAATTGCAGAAGTCCTTCCTGCCGCAGTCCGTACTCCAGGTTCTTGCCCACTGTCCAGGAGAAAAGTTCGGACCTGTCCACCAGCAAAGCCACGTGTTTCCAGTTGAACTGCCGAATAACACTGGCGAAGACGAGGATGAGCCGGCACTGGCAGTAGGACATCCTGGTCAGAGTTGGGTACTTGGACTTGTCCTTGAACATGCCCTGCAAGGAATAGGAGTATCGAGAGGGCTAGTAGCCCGTTGCTCAAGCCAGGAATGGTTTAAGCCAGGCATTAAGATGTGTATTACAAACAAAAATCGATTGTATAATACTGTTTGTTAATTTGTTGTAAGTTTTCTAAGTTTATTGAAATTATATTTAAATACTCTAACAGAAAAAATTTACTTTTCAATTGAATGATAAAGTTTTGCAAGTGTATTTTGGTGTGTCTTAAGGAGGGGAACAATATTTGAACAATTTGTATTTTTATAAGAAGCACTTATGTATGTATGTACAATATGCCAAATCGTTTATGGTTAAAGATGTCGTATAATATAGGTTTAAAGGGACTTTGTATTTGATTTAATTTTGAGTATACTTTCATAGAAATTTAAATTAAAGCTATGTGTCTGTCACTATCGAAAAGACATGTATAAAGCTGAAATTCAAGCCATTAAACTATTTCTGTGCAGGACTTACCGTGTTCTCGTTCTTCCACTTATGTATCCTTCCCAGGATCCCGGAAGTCACCGTGAGCTCACCCTCCGAAGAAGGCGGCTGGCAGCAGGTGGGCAGAGGGGAAAACGCCATTTGTCAATAATACGGGCAAACTTAAATGCAAATTAAAGAGCAAGCCGAAAACCATTTAATTGCCAATGTCAAGAGTACGACCACGACCACGACACAATTAAGGTGGCTAAATGTGATTGCTTCTGGCTGTGCTTGGCCGTGCGGAGCAA